TTAGGCAGAGTGTTGCCAGCAGGTGGAGGGAGGGGATCCTGCCCCTCTCCTCAGCCCTGGGGAGGCCTCACCTGGAGGACTGTGTCCAGTTCTGGGCTCCCCAGTACAAGAGAGACCTGGCAGTAGTGGAGAGAGTCCAGCGGAGGACTACAAAGATAATGAGGGGACTGGAGCATCTCTCCTCTGAAGAAAGGCTGAGGGAGCTGGGCCTGTTTAGCCTGGAGAAGAGAAGACTGAGAGGCGGTCTCATCAATGTGTACAAGTATCTGAAGGGGAGGTGTCAGAGGGACAGGGCCAATCTCTTCTCCGTGGTGCTCACTGACAGGACAAGAGGCAATGGGCAGAAACTGGAGCACAGGAAGTTCCATCTGAACCTGAGGAAAAACTTCTTTGCTGTGAGGGTGACTGAGCATTGGAACAGGTTGCCCAGAGAGGTAGCGGAGTCTCCTTCCATGGAGATATTCAAAACCCGCCTGGATGTGATCCTGGGCAATATGCTGTAGAGGCCCCTGCTTGAGCAGGGGGGTTGGACTAGATGATCTCCAGAGGTCCCTTGCAAGCTCAACCATTCTGCGATTCTGTGAACTTGGCTTTGATTCTCCTAAGCTCTGCAAATTGAATCCTGGAGCATCTCCTGGAGCAGGACCCTGGAGCATCTGTCTCACACAACATGAGAGGGAAATACTCCTCCTGTCCAGAGGTCCCTTGCAAGCTCAACCATTCTGCGATTCTGTGAACTTGGCTTTGATTCTCCTAAGCTCTGCAAATTGAATCCTGGAGCATCTCCTGGAGCAGGACCCTGGAGCATCTGTCTCACACAACATGAGAGGGAAATACTCCTCCTGTCATGTGTGCTCCAACATACCATAGCACTGAGGGTGCTGGACTGAGGGCTGACAGAGGGGCAGTGCTCAGGAGTTGATTGCCAGAGACAACTGCCCACGCCACACTTCCCTTCTTCTATATACAAGTCTGCACTTGGAAGGGAGGATGTGGTGCTGCTATCTCCACCTATTCTGAGGGGGAAATTCCCTTAACCCAGAGGCACCAGTTACTCCTCTGAGAAACAGCGAAAAAGAGCTTGAGTCTCTAGTGAGTCCAGTGTGAAAGGTAGAAGACGGGGTTTTAGCATGATCTGCTGACAGACAACAGAAGAGAAGCAAATCCAGCCTGAATCATCACATCCCTTTCATCTTCCCTGTAGCTGGGTAGTTGGTCTGAGCAATTCACCTGTCCTCATCCCTGGGATTAGCAGGGCCCTACTAGTTCAGAATCACTTGTATTTACCAAAGTCAGATAGAAGGTGCAGATATGACAGGTAATAGATATATTGCTAGATTGCTCATAAGGGATTATTAAAAAAAAACAAGGGCAGTCATTCTGTTTTGGACCAGAGATTCTTTTAACCCAGCACTGAAATGTAGCCATAAGCAAATGTGTAGAGGAAAAAAGGAAGCCCAAGGCAGGCATACAGGCTCCTTCCCCATGTAACCTCCCATCCTCCAGCCATTTTAAGCTCAGGAATTTCCTGAGTTTGTATTTAGTAACCATGCATGGCTTCCTCTTTCATGAACTTTCCACTGCTCCCAGGTTAAACAATAGGCAGATAAACAGGCATATCCAGGAGCTGGATGTGCACATAGCCAGCAAAATATCTCAACAGCATGCTTCTTCAAAGAAGGCTGTGGGCAGAAGTTGCTCCTCACTGTCTGCACTTTCTTTGGGGACTCTCCTGGAGAGTGTGTGTGATGCACTGTTCCTTTCCAAGAGCTATCAGCAGGACTGGCCGGGGAAAGGGATCTCGATGGTGGATATTTCCACTATTGGATCATTCCAGAGTCAGGGGTCACACACTTGGTGGGGGGGGGTGGGGTGGATGGAGCGGGAGATTTACAGTCCTCTACTCTGTTCCACCCTGCTGGAGCAGAAAGGGCTGCCTTTCCTGGCCCTGGGAGGCCCTTCAGGATATTGTGGGGGAGCTGTGCAGCGCCCAGCACCCCTCACGCTCAGCTCGCATAGGCAAGAAGTGGCCCTACCCACCCTATTTGCATGCTTCCCCTTGCGCTGTTTGTTTGCTGCTCTACAGCCTTGCAGCACTCCCAGGGCAACGTGAAGAAGATGCAGACAAAAGAGAAGGAGGACTGTGAAAACCTCAGCAACTTGAACTCCCAGATCACCATGACTGAGAGCACAGAAAGCATGGTGAGAAACATCAACGTGTGTCGGAGCGTGGTGATTGAGATCATGAACAAGACCAGGAATGTGGTGCTCCAAGACTTCAGGTACTTGTCCCTGCTCCTTTTCCCCTCCCTGCAGTGCTCCCCTCTGCTTTCTGCCACTCTGTGTATGCTATGTCCACTCACCCATACCCCTCTCCATCATCAGCCCCTTCTGTGGGTCCCAGCACTCGTTTTCCTCTGCTCCCCACTGTTCTCAAGCTCCCCGCGTGGCTTCCTCTCTCCATCCCTGGTGAGAAGGCACCGCAGTGCAGGCTCAGAGCCAAGTGCAGGAATACTCTTTTATGAATTTCTCTAATTGATTCTGGACTTTCTCTCTGTTTGCACACACCAGCTGCTGATGACAGTGAACCAAGCTGTTCAAATGCACACACTGTAAGAAAGTCATCCCTTATCCATGTTTGAAGCCTTTTATTAGATAATTCAGTCTGATCCCCTCATAGTTTTTGTGGGATGAACTCTTATCTCTTCCTAGCAGGGGAAATAGCTGTGCACACAGGGGACCAGATGTGAGCACACCACAGACTTACACCTACTGTTACATTTCCTGTCTCATTCTTTATTCCCCTCCAAGAAACAACTAACAGTCAGTCTGCATGTTTTGATGTCTGCTGAGCACTGAATTGACATTTTCAGGGAACAACCCAGGTGTAATAGGAAGCAGTTATTGTAGCATGGGCAAATACCTTTTTAAGGCAAAGAGGGTAAGAGGCAGAAGAGAGGGAGGTCGTTGAAAGAAGCCCATGGAAATTTCTGTCAGAACAAGTGCGGTTCAATGCATTCATGAATGACAAGGAAGAGATATAAATAATGAGCCAAAACTTGTGGATGGCAGTGACAGAGAGGAGCAAAGGCCAGTGGTTCCCCTATTTATGACAGTGATTTCTTTAGACCATGCTGCTGCTACCTTGCAGCTGCTCTGAGGGTACGTCTTGGGTGCAACAAGGCTTGGCGAAGGTGGGGTTAGAAATGACACTGATCTCCCTGCTTTAGACTTTGGTGATGTTTGCTCTTTGGAGAAGGCTAAAACTCCCTTTTAGCAGGTAGAATGTGGTACCACTCAATAAAAGTCATGGATGTACAGGTGAGAGTAGATGAGAGCTCTCCCCATCCCTTCTGCTTTCATCTCCTCTTTTCTTGTTTCATATCAGTCCCACTCTTTCTGCAGGAGTTACTGCTTCAGTGGCCGGGTCAACAGCCCTCTCCCATTCGAGATCGGCCCAGGCTCCAGGGGAAAATGTGCATTTGCAAAGACTCCATACAGTCTCCGTGGCAGTGTGGGAGTCCTGGTGTGCAAGCTCAACTCTTCTGTCCTGGCCATCATGTTCTCCAACCCCTTCGACTATGTCCTTTATCACATTGAATTTGCCCTGGAAATCTTCACAGCGGATAATCACCTGGGAAGCCTCCACAATGTCTATTCCAACATGATGAGGAACAAAACTTACAGCACCTCCACGCTCTTCCAGCGAGGCAATGCAGACTCTGAACATGAAACCCTGGAGGTCTCCAAGGGGACCATTCGTGTCAGAGCCAAGATGTCCAACAATGAGAAAGCAGTCATGAAAGTTCAGATAGAGGATATAGACCCCCCACCTTACCAAAAAAATGCATAAGTGAGGATTGGTGTAATTGGCATAGCCAGCTTCCGGCATGAGCTATTCTTCGATAACACTGTTAGGGATCTCACTGATTTGTCCCATCTCTGGTTGGTCAGTGGTCATCAGTGCTAACTGGTGGTGACAGATCCAGCGGTAAATGGACAAAGACTACTAGGAAGAAGTCCAGCCTGTCTCCTCCGGACTGATACGTGCCTAGCCAGCAAAGACCCTTCTGGTGTCTCCTGAGCATCGTGACCTTGCTAATAAGCTAATAATGCTTAGCAGCTTAAGTCCTAACTAATGTTTGTGTTAGCTAATAAATGTTTTTTATCCTTGTAAGATGCATATATTCTCCTTGCAGACTCTTAATGCATGGATAAAGGTGCCCAAAGAAAGTGGAACAGAGAGAGATAGTGATACCTCTGAAAGAGTAACCCCACAGCCTCCTCCACACACACACATGTTTTGCCACTGTGTCCTTCCTCTGTTCTGCCACATGTTCACAGCAGTGTCTGTACATACATGTGTGTGCATGGGCTCACAAGTACAGACATCATTATATCAGAGCAGTACATAGGCTCCACTGAAGATGTTGTGGATCAGCCTACGAATCTACCTTCTGGGTGGCCAGTCGCTCTAAGGCTTTGGGTCAGCCCATGCCAGAAGGCTGGTGCCTGCTTTCCATCGGGGGTTACTTATCTGTGATGCAGAGGAGACCTCAGTAGCACCTTAGGCATCAGACTCCCTTGCACTGGCCATATCACAACCTCCCTGCACTCGTGCAACGGCACTTTTCCCGCACCACCTATTCCCATTTCCCATCTTGCCCTAGGGTCCCTCCCTGACTGCTGTCTCTAGCACATCTTTCCCATAAGCCAGCAACTACAGCAGAAAAGATAACAGAAGAGTTGGCCTTTCCAAATTGCCAGACCCATGCCAAGAAAACACATACTAGACGAGGCTGTGAGGGCAGATAGACTGCGTGGAGTCTGTTGAGGGTTTCAGCACAGACAAAACAGAAAATGTTATTTCCAGAAAGAGCCAGCCCCGGTGCAGCTGCGGGCAGCTCGTGAACAGCAAAGCACATGGAGGGCAACGGCTCCCTGCAAACATGGGGGTGCTCAGGACAGGGGTGCTCAGGACGGCCCCGCACCCAGGTGTGGCCGGGGCGGGGGGTGGTCTGCGCTGGGACCGTGGAGCAGCAGACATGCTGTGGGGCTGCTGGCACAGGGAGCGTGGCAGGGAGAGGAGGCAGGCAGAGAAGAGCCTGCTCCCCCAGCCTGGCGGCAGCTGTGCCTCCCTGTCTGCGAGATATCCCTGGGTGCAGAGCAAGGGCTGCCCCGGTGGGAGGAATCTGGGGGATCTCTAGCGCGACTGAGAAATCCCTTGACTTCCCAGAAGTCAGCTGTCTTGAAGGTGTGCGGCTGGAGCGCAGGGCGGGCTGCAGTGCCAGGATGGGACTGAGTCATGGGAACAGGAACCTTTCTCCTCCCATTTGCACAGAGCCAGTCCCCACCTTGCACCACTCCCATCCCTCCCCCTGCCCGGGGCAGGGCGCACATCCCAGGGACAAGGGACAGCCTGGGTCAGCTTTGCCTTCCCAGCCACCCACCCCCTGCAGCAGGGCGCTTCTCTGTGCTGCTCCGGGGCAGCATGCATGGCACTAGCCCTTCCTTCCCTCACACAGCGCTCAGTCTCCACCACCTCCACACTGGGAGGGCTAACTTCACCCTTGGGCCTAGGAGGAAACAGCAGTGGGCAAACTGCTACCATGGCCCCCCTTGCAGTGGGCGCTCCCTGCCCCACTCACATCTATTTCCCCTTCCTATGCAGGAAGGGTACCCCGACATCCCACTCCCACATGCGCCTTTTCATATCTCCTCCCCTAGTCTTCCATCCTAGACATTACCTGGCCCTTCACCATCTATATCTCCCCACAACAATGCAGAAAGCTCTTTTGTTTTCACTTCCCTTCTCAACCTCTGTCTTGCTCTCCTCTGAGGCTGGGGGGAGGAAAGAAGAGCTCTGCTGCAACAGCTGCCTGTTTTGCCACCACACAGGTAAAACTATCAGACAAATGCAAGCATGGGAATGCTCTTCCTCAGAATTATTAGAACTGTGACCCTGCAGGGTAGCAAAGCACTTTGGATGTGACCATGCTGTGAGTAACAGGTAATGATATCTTTCATAATGAGATTTGTTCCAGCTCCCACCCTCACCCCTAGCTAAAGACCTCTTCTGCAGACACTGCCATGTGCTGGATCCTGGATGTGAGGTCAGGAGAAGGGGGGGCTTTGCAGTGCAAATACAGCTGCAATGCAGTGTTTCCCCCATCCAGGTCTTCCCTACATACACATGTACACGTGCATGCAGAAACACATACTCACCTCCAAATCATGTTCTTGTGACTTAACCATGTCCTGAGATGTTGGAGCCCAGGTGACTTAGCTGTTCCGGATCAGAGCAGGTCCTTGGATCACAAACAGCTGAACCCCTGGGGCATAAGGATTGCAAAGACAGTTACAGAGATGTTTAGCGAGATCTCCTACAGTGTTGCCAAAGAAACGCTCATGCAGGAAGCTAGCAGTGACAATAGATGCCAGAGAGGGAGCACTGAGGTGCAGGGCTTTGTAGCTGAAGCCTCTGAGGGCCACAGTCCTGATATTGCTGATCTTTCTCATACCCGAAAAGACACTGACATCTCTCACCAGAGTCTTGGTGCTTGTGTCCATGCTGCTTGGAGAGCTGGAGCTGCTGGGGCTGTCATGGCCTGACTTCCCTCCTGCCCACATACACCCTGTGCTGCCAGAGTTGGGCTGCAAACACAATACATGGAGAAGAGCAGAAATGAGATGGACAGGGTTACCCCACAGCTAATGGGAGCCCAGCAAGAGGAATGCAGTGACACTGGACATTGCTCAGCTCCTTCCCAGCACCCTGACATACTTACCAGGGCCAGACGATGTGTAAGTTTTTGACTCCATCCAGTCTCTTCCAACAATGAGACAGGAGAGAACAAGACTGAAAGAAGAATCATTTCTCATCACGGTCTCCTCCCTGAAGGGTTTCTGTCTGCTCCATCTCTCTCTTTACTCACACAACCTTCTATCTGTGTCTGCCTCATTGTGCTGCCTATATCTGACACTGAATTTTCAGTTCTAGATTAAAAAAGGCTTTGAATATGTCTGGTGTTCCCTTTACTGGGCTGATGAACTGCTGTTCAAGGAGGTCAGCAAGCAGATGTGTTAGATATCCCAACTGTCAGCAGCATTCACATTGGCTTACCAGACCAGCCTCAAACAAGTGCAGGGATCCCCTCATCTCCTACAAGGGCCTCTCCACTGGTCCCCTGGTCCCACAGACTCTCCTAGCATCTCTTCCTTTTGGCTGAAATGACATGGGAAGAGGGACTCTGAGCAATTCAGACGTGTGGAAAGCACAATCTGGGCCTCCTGCCCGGTGGCTGAGAACCTGTGAAAGCTGTACCTCTCCCTGCACCATCACCCTGGGGCCAGAGATGGATTCACACTGTCTCCCTGGGTCTGGCTAATGGGGGCATGGCAAGTCTTGGCCTGGTGTATGTCCCACTTCCAGGAAGGGGATAGGACCAGTTCTCATATGCCTAGCTTGAACATGGGTCCTGGTGGGCAGGAGAGCTCCCAAAAGACTTGGGAATGGGCATGTTTCATGCCTCCCTTGTGCAAATAGGAGTGTCTTGTGCAAAAGTCTATCCTAGGATGAAGGAAGCGTGAGTCTTATTGCAAGGGTAGTTTCTCCTACCTTTGGTCATTGGCTTTCACAGAATCACAGAATGGTTGAGGTTGGAAGGGACCTCTGGAGATCATCTAGTCCAACCTCCCTGCTCAAGCAGGGGCCTCTACAGCATATTGCCCAGGATCACATCCAGGCGGGTTTTGAATATCTCCAGCGAAGGAGACTCCACTACCTCTCGGGGCAACCTGTACCAGTGCTCAG